TCCATGAACAGAAATACCGCCGAGTTCCCAAAGAATATCAAAGTCGATCTCTGATTTCTTCAAAGCCAGCCAACCGCCACCGCAACCATCAAAGGGCCAGAAGGACAACATCGCCCAGTTACCACAACCGCAACCACGGGCATTCAGTCGAAGCCACTCGGATGTACCACCTGCCCAGAATGCTAACAAGCCCACACCACCCCTTAACCCTCCCTCTCCCAGCGGACTTAACCCTGGTCGCAGACATATACCCCCTACAAAGGGCCTGCAGAAATCGTTATCGGATACCTCCATGCTGAGGGCCAGACCAGGCCTCAGTCGGGGGCTACAAACACGCTTAACGACAATGGGCAACACATCAGCACCTAGTGACACGATAAATGAAGATGAACAAGGGCCCTGGACGAGTGAGGCCCTGGATCTATTTGATTGGTGGCCACCAGGCCGACCGAAACCGGAGTTGAAGGCCGGTTGACTTCACCTTTTGGTCCATTATTACAATATATGTTGCTACATCCACGGATATCTTAGAACTAACATTGTCCTGATGTATACGGAAGCACTAGGCATTAGTTATAAACATCCCGCAGACCAATCTGCTCGATTAGGATGTAATGAAAATTATTCACGATCATGACCCCATAACGATTAAACAGAGAGCTTACGAAAAGTATAGTATCGGTTATTCATTTCTCAATCGGTTGCTCTTTCGTCAACATATCGCTTAATTCAAACGCCGAAATCCAAAGGTCCAAAACAATTCAATATACATCGAATGGTAGTTGTCGACGGCGAAAACGCAAAACGGGAATCTGCTTTAGTCAACGCATCTGTCCATACACAGTTGCTCAACCCTTCTTCACCAAGGTGCCGCTAACATATGGCAGCGGGCCCCATGCAAACGACGTTTCAAGGCCATCACTCGCCCACCCACCGTCCTCCGCCGCAGCCATCCTCAGCATCTTCCCAGTATTCCTAGCCATATGGCAACTGCCCATGAAAAATGGCCAACCCAAAAGTGTATAAAAAAGCTGTGCCAATCTCCCTGCGACGCTCCCCTTCCTCGTGCACCACGGGTTAACGACATGTTCCGCCACAAGCAACTTCCCGCCAGGCTTGAGCAGGCGATACAAACCCCGAATCGTCTCTTCGGGCTTAGGCACTGAGCAAAGCACGCGCACACACACAATGGTATCGAAGACTCCGCTGCCCAGGTCCTTGAAGCCGGCCTTGTCCAAAGCGGGGAGAAGAGATGACGACTCCGCGCCGCAGTGGAGAATCTGGTACTTTGATGAGAGGTTGCAGTGCTCGATCTTGGCGCGGAGGTCAACGTGCAGACCTTCAGCTGGCTCGGCGCCGTACATGGCTTTGATGTTGGGGTTCGTGAATAGGGGCATCTGGGTGCCGGTTCCTGGGCCGATGTCGAGGATTACGCCGCTGGCGGTGGCGAGCAGAGGCGGCATCAGAGCGCTAGAGCCGACTGGTTCCACTGGTTTTGAAGACACAGGATTACGGGCTCCTAGGCGCGAATTTAGTTTGGTGGACTGGTGGTGCAGGAGAAGAGAGCTTGCACAAGCGAGTGGATGGAGAGAACATAGCCATGCCCTTTATTTTGCATCATTGAAAGGAAACCACGGGTATCATTTTAATTTGGACTCTCAACCCCATAACATCAATAACGAGTTTGACCTACCCGAAAACTTAATCCAGAACCTCGAAAAGGCCTCTGATCTGATCTGGGACATCCGAAGAACGGGCGCAAGTAGCTCCCCTCGTCGGAATAATGTGTCCAAAAGGACCACCGCAAAGCCTATATGCATGGTTACACATCTGCTGTAACAATATCAATCGAAGTGTCAACTCACTCCATGCGCTGCCAGCCAGTAGCATTCCTGGCTCGGCAAGGTCATTGACGCGCTGGCAAAAGCCCGGTTCCGCCATGCTGGATAAACACGCACAGTATTCTCAACGCTATTTCTACCTGTTGAATATGCTCTATAAGTTGTCTGTTCGCTGCGTTGAGGGAGAGTTTGCCGAGAAGTTGGGGAAAGAACGAAGCTCTCGGACCGAGACGCAAGGCGGGCTAAACTCAATCAGGGCTGGTGCTTTCGGGATTAGTTTCACCGAGCCGAACAGCCGTCGGGATTATGTAACACAGGTTGATATCAAGTCCGTTAACAGCCGGGCGAGTAGATTTAAACAATGATATATATTTCAGTTGGTTAACAACAAGTCTAGCTACTGAAAGCCCAAATACAAGTCCCAGAGATGGCGGATGCTCCCAGTAAATTAGAAAAGCTCCCAATCATGAATTCTGCGACCTGAAGCATACAAAAGCAGAACTGTACTCCGTACCATGTACAGGAAGCCTCTATGAAGAAGCGTAAGCCCTTATGTTTGGTGGAGCTGATACAAAAGCTTGATGCATGGAAGTCGGGCGGGACCGCCACGCACGCTTTCCCGTGTGCACGACACCGGGAGCACTTGCCGAAAAAGACCGTGGTGCGATCCTGCACCAGGTATTTAACGCACCGCACGCACGCGGCGGTTTGACTGTCAACTCGCTGCAACCTATCAGCTACGTCTAGGAAAGAAAAACTTGGGAAATTGGCCTTGGTAAGGAGAATTTGAGAATACTCACGGGGACAGCAGGTGGAGGCACGCTGGCCACGTCCGCAACCGTTTCATCTCCCAGGTTCTATAATCTGGTTAGCTCGCTGCTCCTTATCCGCGCACATTTATGTCCTAAAACCTGATGTATATAGACAGCTAGAAGAAGAGCTTTGCAATGCGTGGCCGAATCTGAACCAGCTTCTGATTTAACGGACTTGGAGAAACTCCCTTATTTGGTACCATGCCGGATTCTTTTTCTTCTTTATGGCAATTAGCCAGCTCCCATGTAGACTGCTGTTCTTAAAATCTCCGCGCATGAGTCCGGGCGTGGCATCTCCGCTTCCAAGGATAGTGCCGCCCCATATAACAAAGTATCGAGTTCGGGCACAGGCTCGACCTCGGTCATTTCGACATCCTCCGCATCCACGAAAGGATCGGGGGATTGACGCTGATTATGGATCGGGGTAGAAGGTGTTAGAGGAACGAATCCGTGTATGGCTTTATAAGCCATCCCCCCTGAATAACATGATGTCATCACCAGGGTTAAATCAACACGGGGTGAACGGCTTCGTGTAACTTTTATTTGGTAAGTTGCAGTGCATCGTCAGAAGGGCCTTTGCCTCCTATGGACACCTCAAAGGAGTCTGCTTCTCCATGTCCAAATATGAACAGTAGCACCTGCTGATTTTCCTGAACTGCAATTTTTGTCTCTGATCTTAGCGTCGCTAAAAAAACGCTCTAGGAGATCCTCAGGCGCCAAAATATCAGGGCAATATATTCCTGGCAGAATAGGTGCTGCAGCCGAATATTGCAACGAAAACCCTCATTCCCGACTGAACTAGTATGAATTTCGGTGGAAATGAGCGGCTATTTTGTACGTCGCAATGAAACCGGTTCGAGAACCAAAAGAGTCTATTCATGAACGCTGGCTCGGAGAAGGCGAGGATAGCTGGACAAATGGCTTTTGAGTTTCTCTCGCGGGAACTGGGGACAGGATTTGTCCAGATCTCCCAGAAAAATCTTCGGAGATATAGCGCCGGTTCAATCGGCTTAAACGAACCTCCTATGAAGGTCTTCGGAGATGTTCTTAAAGTGTAGTTGTCGTAAGGGGTGTTAGACCCTTAGTATAAGGGAATTAGACTTCACGGGTGATCTCCCATATATCCTCGAATTAACCGGCATAGTTGCTGCTCGTGGTAAGGAAGGATAGGGGGAAGCATAGGGTGCTATCCGCTCGTAAAGATTCCTGCGAATAAACCCAATTAAGTCCTTAATCATCAGGTCAATTGAACTGCTTAAGTGACCTTGCAGAACAAGATGGGTAAGGACAGATGTTTTGGCCGCTTTTGTTTGTGACATTTGCCCTTGCACCATTGCAGGGGAGCTGAACTATTTTGCCCATCCCAAACATGCGACGAAAGCTGAGAATGCGACGAAAACAATTATTTGGTTCCCATATGTTGTTCAGAGTCAGGTTTTGCTTGTATAAAATATATATTACTTCCCATATAGCGGCGGAAGTGAAATAATATATCCTCGATCCGAGTCGGTATGTATGATATTCCAGCAGCAAACCCCACAGCACCACATGTGAAAAGTAGGAACCAGCGAGTTCCCACGCCACAGGGCGATGAGTTGTTCAAATCCAGGCGCATTTTGAAATTGCTCTCGCGGGTTTATATATTCTGGCAACCTTCAAGGTTGGTATAAAAGGCCCAGTCCGCATCGAATACTGATGAGTTGTATTATTCAACGGAATATGTGGTAGGGTATCTCTCACTTCCCCCTGAGTCCTGAAGTTGAAGCTTTCAGGGGCGAACTTGAAGCAGATATCGCAGCGGAGATCAAAATCATAATACAATGATAGAAGAAGAGCAAGTAGGGAGATAGAATATAGGATATAGAATGGAGATGGGTTGATATTTATCAAGCCACTATAGGCTGGCAGTTTAGAGGAGCAAGGTAATGGCCCGCAGGAAGAGAAGATGGAGAGTGGGAATGGGAAGAAGAAAGAGAGGAAGAGAAGGAGAGAAGAGAGAGGTTTATATAGCCGGGTCTGCCCTTCCCTCCACGTGAGATCATGCGAGCATGATTCGCTTTCAAAGTGAGAGAGCGTCACGCCGTCACTAGTGAGCTTTGAGTGAATGAGCGGATGACCCGGAATATAGATCGTGACTGATGCCGGGATAGCCTTGCGAGTGCGAGTGAATATGGAACTGAATGGAGGCTCATTTCACTTCTTCGGTGATGAAAGTTCTTCTGCTGCTGGATTGACGGTGATCACAAAGCCAGACGTCTTCGGGGCTTTAGGGTACGAGGGTAACTAGCACCATTCAAATCATAATCCTTCATCGGGAACTCTTAATTTGAGAAGCACCCTCTAAAAGAAAGTCGGTCCTACATCGGCGACGGGACTTGCAAGAGGAGTGAATGATTTTATCACTGAGGAATAGTTAGCGGGTAGGTTTCAAAACGTCGAAGCAGCTCTACAGACTCAAAGCCAAGTACGCCAATCAAGGGGCGATGAAATGGTTTCAATCATTTTCACATATGTAAAGTCTTGTAATCTGAAAGATCGAGGAACATACATGCTGCCCTGGGTGAAAAGAGCTGTGTTCATACTAAAAGGAGATACTCGACAGTAAAGAGAGGCGAAGGAAAAGAAAGGAAAGCCAAAAGATAGACTGATTAATGGATGGGTGGAGTTGAAACAAAAGGGATTAAAACGACATAGGCAGCAAGAGAGTGAAAAGCAGAGCCACTAGACCGACGTGATGATTGCGGAGGCATCGAATCACATCAAAAGAAGCAAAGATTAAAAGCAATGGCGACATGGCAAGTTGCTCTGCAACAGATAAAATTCCCCGAGAACAGGAGGGCGCACAGTATATGAATTCATAGGAGTGGCGAACTTCAAATTGGGGCCTTGTCCTCCAGACCGAAACCACAGCAAGACAAAACATATTAAACCTGCCAAATTTCAAATGTTGGGTTTTATGGAATGCACCTGGTATTCATTAAGGGCGCCGAAATATGGAAAGCAAACATCTAATTCAAAAACACAAGGAAATTCGTCCACAACATACGAGTTGCCAATATTCTTTTGTGAAATACTTGCCAAAACTTTCGAGAGCACCAAGTACGAAGCGGAAACGTATAGATTTCTCAGCTGTGGACATGAGATAGGGGGCTGACCCTGGAGCTATATCTGCTTGTTCGTGACAAGGAACTAACGTCATGTTTCCCTAGACAAGCAGGTTAGGCCAAGAAACGATTACTAAGTTGAAGAGGAAAATGTGCAAGCGACTTACCGTCACAACAAGCGCGTACGTTCTCCAGGCGATCAGCCTCTCGGTCTTGTCGCTCAAGTACACGCCTCAAATCTTCGGCGCTGTCATTGCTAGCAGCACTGGTGCTGTCTATGCTCCCATTGGTAGTGCCGTACCTGCTTCTACGGCTTGAGAAAGTAGATTTGAACCCTGACGACCTAAAAACATTGCTGATGCGGGTCACAGAACCCGGTCTAGTTTGGTCGGGTCTCAAAGATGATCCAGGACGGCTGGAAGCTGACGGAGGCCGCTGATTCGGAGTTACTGGTCGGCGCAGGGTAGGCGCCGTCTCGACAAAGTGTTTTGACACCGTACGAGTAGCACGACTATTATGAGAAGAAATTGATCTGCGTGACTCTGCCTGCCGAGAAGTTCGTCCGTTTGCTGGATTGAATTCGTTGCCGACTTCCCACGCGGAATGTGGATCCTCAGTCTCGTCGTCTGCCATTCGCAGGAGCAAATATGAGAGCGCATTAAACCATGTTTCGTGGCGTTGGCCAGTTGCAGCGGTAAATTTAACAGTTCGACCCGGTGTAATGATTTCCAAACTTTTTCGATGAAGTCCGGGGGGGTACGGGTTGTCATCATTAACAACGCGGACAGCTTCGATAGGGACGCTCTTTGCTTTGTGTTGCGTCTTCCCAATGACTTGGGGATCATGGGTGCTCCAATACAATGTCCGAGTGTACGGATGGACCCAGAAGTATCGGCGGTGTCGGGTATTTGACATGTCGGACCTTCCGGGTTTGCGAGTATACTTCCACAAAAATTCTCCGATCATAGTTTGAGTAATTGCTTGAATCATACGAGGATCAGCACCAGATTCGAAAGGATAGGCCGCTCTGGCTAGATTAAACCTCTCATCCAGCTCTGAAGCAAAAGATGACATAGAAGACCGGCGAGATGTTATGCTTGTGCTTGTACGCTTGAATTTCGTCTGCGGGGTTGTCAAATTTCGGATCGAGCCACGGCCAGGTTGTTCATTGGGCGTGCGCGGTCGGATTTGGCCAGAACCGCGATATGATGAAGCCGGGGCAATTGGTGGTCCCATTGTGCCAGGGGAAAGTTCTGACGGTAGCTTCTGCGATGCCGCAGCGATTGCTTGCTTATGATCCGCAGGGAGGGGTGGATGAGACAGACCATTAAATCTTTGACTCCCAGCGCTCCCTGGTCGTTTGATCGGGGGATTATTCGGATTTAGGAGCAAACCGGCCTGGCCGGAAGAAAGTGGTTTCGCTTTTGGAGTAGCCAAAGGCGAGTTTTGCGGGCTTGGTATAAGTCCCTGTGGCTGCTTACTTTCGATAGCAGTCACCGGGCGACTGGCATGGCGCTCCATTAGCAGTTTATCAATTTGGACGCCTGTCAGAATAGTTTGAGCGGAGATTTCAGTGGTGTTGATGGAAACACGGGAAACCAATGTCTCTGCTTTCGGCAATTCAACCGCAGATGTTTGAGTAGCTTTCTCTGTTTCGGGTGGTAGAGAGGTGTTCACTCCCTGATCCGAAGTTGAGCTCTGATATTGGGTGCTGCGGTCCACTAGAGAAGGCCCAGAGGGTGGAACTTCAACATCATTTTGGCTTAAAAAAACTTCGCTTGGTGGGCCTGGGCTGGCGGTCATCTTCATGGGCTCTGATGCAACATACTGGATATCAGATAGCCCAAGCTGAGCAGAGGGCATTGAGACAATAGGTAACTCGGGCTGCGTTCCGGCTGCTGAAATTGACGAAATTTCAAGGGCTTGACTTTGTTGTGGTTCAGGGGCAGTTATAGGAATTGTGAGCGGGGTTGTAGAGGTTGACTGAACTGTGGATATAACCAATTCCAACGAAGGTTTTGAAGGGGTCACACTCGGAAGCGAAGGGGGGGTATTCTCAAACGCAATGACGGAAACATCCATTTGAATAGGCGGGAGATGAGGTTTCTCCGGCATTGAGATAGGAACAGTTTGCTCAATATAAATCGGCGACATCTCCAGCACAATTGGTGCCACAGCGTCAAGAGTAGCGGAAGATGTTTCGACATGTTGAACGGTGTTAAGTTCGCATTGATCGCGTATTTCCGGCAAAACATCAACAGTGACAACGGGTTCACTTTTGGATAGTACAGGGATTTCCACCGGCACACATTGAGTAGCAGAGCTAGTGAACATTATCGTTTCAAAACTTGTTGACGCGTCTACGAGCTTGGGTACTTCCGTCAACGTCTCTGCATCTCTAAATTGCAGGCTTCCGGCGCAGGCACGATTGCTTCAGTCGATCCTGAGATAACTGGCGTTGATGGATTCGGTCATGGTGCACGAATCAACCATTACCACTTCTCTTGCCGTACCGGTCGACTTGAATCTGCGAATGTTGCAAAGCTTGGGCGGCGACTCGGAGTGGATGTCTCAGACATTGTATTTGAACGGAGAGGCGCGCCGAATTCACTGTCGCTTCCCGCGAAAGCACTGAGTTCGGCGAAGAGGCTCTGCCCCCCAGAAATAGTTCTTTGTTGAGGGCTCTGTGGAGGACTATTTAGGCTTGCCGGTGAATCACGGGGGCTCAATGGAGCGCTTCCTTGGTGCAAGTGTGATTCTTGAGACAAACGACCACGCCTTGCACGACTCATTTTCAGTCGATAACGGGGTGGCTGGGCTTGCACCGGAGTTCTAACGTCGACATATTCGTCCTCATCCCCCGATGTCGAGGCAGTGCTCACAAAAGAAATAGGCCTGCCGGAGCCAAACTGGTCAGATCGTTTGCTGCGAATTGTGCCCGTACGCACGACACGAGATTCAGTCTCAGTGAGGTCATCACTACTCTCTCCAACGAAATTCTCAGCGCCAGTCTGGAAGGCCTCGCTTTCGGTTGCGGTTTCACGCTCATTTGCTGTCTCAAAGGCTTCGGTTTCATTAGCGGTCTGATAAGCATCACTGGTTGTGCTGGAATCCACTCCAGAACGCTCATATGAAACAACTCGATTGCTTCGAGGTACAGAACGAGTAGGACTTGGTTCGCCGTTTTCATCTTCCCAGTCTGGTTCCGCAATTTCTATTTCCGTAATACCTTTTCTGCCAGCTCCGAGCATCTCGGGGCGCGGCGGCTTCTTAAACGCTTCTGCTTTGGCCTTTTGACGCTTGGTATGAGAACTGATCGGGCGCACTGGCTCCGTACGACGCTGTTCTATCTCATCCCTCGCCTCTTGCAACATGCGTTTGAGTTCGATCTTTTCGGTCTTCTCTCTGTGAATGGTGCCTTTCAAGGTTTGAATCATGCGGTGAGCATGGTGTAAGGAGCTTTTTAAGGTCTCCGATTCTAGGTGGCCATGACGTGGGGTAGGTTTGTTTGGAGATGGGGGCGGCGAGTTTTCAGGGGTTGAATCGTCTGAATTTTTCCTTTCCTCGGCGATGTTTGAATTTTTCGCCGCATCCGCTTCATGTTGGCGTAATTTTGCAGCTACCGCTTTAACGAGTTCCTGATTTTGACCTGCCAACTCTTCAATCTTTTGATGGAGAGCAGTGCGTTCAGTTTCTCCAAGGTTTACGTTCCGTCGGAGAATATGCAGTTCAGAGTCGTAAGCCTTCTGGGCAGCAATATTTTCTTCAGTAAGCCTACCATGGGCCTGCTTGATTTCGTCTAGCTCCCGTTGAACATTTGCCTTTTCAGCATTCAGCGCATTTAGGTTACTTGTTAAACGACTTTCGCGATCGGAAGCTTCTTTGGCGGCAGCAAGCAGCTCGTGCGTTTGGGTTTCTAAAGCCCAGTTTTCATCTTTATACCGCTGCTCGCTTTCATCAAGGGCTCGAAGTCGTTGGGTGAAACCTTCAGCTTCAAGTTCAAGGTGGGCTTTTTCCAGGTTGGCGGCCTTCAGCGCTTCTTCTCGTTCTGCTAGGAGTGTCTGCAATTGCCGAACTTGGGCGAGCAAAGAAGTGCTGATTTCCGTCGCAAATTCGATGTCGTGCACCCGACTCGATGGTTGGTTACGCTGCTTCCGGGAAGGCACCGATACTTTTGAAGGGGAATTGGTGGCTTGACTGGAAAACACAGAAGGGCTTGCGTGATGCTGCAAAATAAGTCAGACGCCGTGACAACAATATCATCCATAGGTCCTTACACGGGAATCCAATGATGGGGTGCCTAGGCCGTCATCCTGGCCCATAAGCCTGCTCTTAGGGCCCAGGGAAACTCGAGCCGTTTCCCGTCCAATTTCATTGTACTCCCGCTCCAAGTCGTTGAGTTTGCGGCGAAGATCAGGCCCAATCTCCCCATCTTCCTGTTGTCTTTCAACCTCCTTCAACTTCTCCGAAAGCTCCCTTTGCTGATCGACAAGGGCAGTGCCAAGCTTCGATGCTTCTTGTAAGCGACGATCTGTTTCTGCCAAATGCGCTTCGAGAGCCCGCTTGACTTGCGAGGGAGAAGAAGCATTCAGAGTAAACAGGTGGGAATCAAAAGAGGAATAACGGTGCGGTTCTCGATGCGAATGGTTCCCGACTGGCGTATCGGAGACGAACGGGTCCTCCAGGTCCACCCCATTGTCACTAATCACCCCGAAGGAAGGAAGGGAATCGGCCATGGCTTTGCGTTAAGTAAATTCAACGGCTGGCGAACCCCTAGGCGGCTGGTCTCATCGTTCCCAAGCGACGTCGTTCGGTATCGTTTGGCGAGACCCTTGGAAGAACAAGAGCGAACCGGGAATGAGAGTCAAGCACAAGTCGAAAGTGCCGTCTCACCACTTATCTCCACCACGCCCCATTCATAACCTGTGTCGAATCGATAAGCGATATAAAAGCGCTCTCGTCAGTGAGATGCGTGTTCAGTTGGCCGATTGTTCGAGTTGCTCGGATCGAAGACGCGTTATTGGGTGTGATGATGTACTGCCAACACACAATTTGTCCACTTTCAGGCGCGAAGCACCAATAAACAAAAGCAAGGAAAATAAGAGAAATGAGTAAAAGAATGACTGATCACCCACACTGTCACTGCATAGCAAAATGCAGCGAATTGTATTGCACAATGAGCACAACACAACGACAGTGCTTGCTAGGGCGGGGATGGAGGAGAGAAGAGAGAGCGAAAGGAGAGCAAGTTGAAATTGCCCAATTTAGCCGTATTCTGGAACGGTATCAGAACAGCCTTCATTACACACCCCGTACATTGTTACAGTCATAAGTTACATGCCGCTGACTCAGCAGGAACGGCAACGTCGCTTCATCTTCACTTTGACGTCGACTGCTCTTCTACCCTCTATACAGCTCCTTCACTATTGAGATTGGATATGTGCGCTGGAATACAGAGTCAATAACATATGTCAGGTGTCTCAGGGCATTTTCCTGGACAGGGGCGTAGCAAGAAGTGAACCATTTTCCTGCCGCTCTTTCAGCGACGCCTGCAGCCTACCTAGGATTAAAGGAAGCCTGGAAGGGCTCAGATAGCTCACTCACTGCGATAATAATACCTCAAGAGCCTTGTCAGTGGACTCTATGCATCTGCTTTGTTCTTTCTTCCAGACCCGTCGTCCGCGCCGTACAGACATCCTATTGACGCCGTCTTGAGGGGATTTGAGACCCAGGACCTTCATATCCGAACCTCAGCCAAAAAATGGACTTCGCTCAGTAGCTTACGCTATAATGCAATACCATATAACAGTGGGAATAAAACTCCCGCCTCTAATTTAACAATGCGAAAACAATGGGCTCAGTAGCCTGACCCAGGCGAACGCCAACAACGGAATGTGCGCCCACAGGAATATGCCGCTGTGACATCTCCACCCCTCAAAAGCACTCTTCAAAGTCACTGTCCCCATGTCCGTGCTAGGATAGTGGCCTATAAAGATATGGAAGACATCTGGATCAGTGGAGCGCACCTTCCAAACTTGGAGCCAATCGATCTGCTAGGCCGCTCGCTTCGGACAGCGTCACTACATCGCCTTGCGATATCAAAAGGTCTGCTGCAATGGGCGCTTTTCTAGCCGCTCTTTGCGTACTAGTGAAAAGTTCTATGCTGGTCATTGGCACCTTTACAAGTTTGATCAGCGTCGATTTTGCGTCTTTCGTGAACTTGGTGTGCTTATCAAGTGTAAGTTAGCAATCAAGGAGGTGTTGTTAGGGTGCAGCCGCAATTGGCTCCTCACAACTCCTAAATGCATGCGATATCGCCTGCTATTATATAAACAACCAATCCTGGATGTTTTGTATCGCGGCTTCTCTCTATAACTTATTCTCTCTTGCCCTTGATTTTCCAACTTGACTGGTGAAGCTAAACGGCTCTCACTTAACACGTTATGAACCAACTTTGTTAACAACTCAAACTGTAGGTGCACCATATTACCATTTCTCCTACTAGACGCAGAATTAGTTGCGTCGTACAAAAGAATAAGAGATAAACAAACAAGAAATTTAGTGAATGCCATTTGCATTCTTCTTGTTGCGCTCTATCACCTGACTTTATATCTCTATCAATATCTCTTGATGTTACATTACCTTTCTTTTTCATCATTATCGCCTTCTCTAGCCAACTTACAACAACATTACTATTTGGAATTTGTCTATTATTCAAAAGATGAACGAAACCGCTATCCAAACAAATAGACTAGAGGTCCGCTTTGGGTCCCTGGTGAACATTACGGAGACTTCCCTCTTACAACTTGCTGCGAGGTTTTATTGGCAGCGAACAGGAATATTTGACCCTTTCGGCCGCTTGATCGATAGCCTAAATGGTTCTTACAATATAGTCCACATTGTGGAATTTCGTGCTGGTGAGAAATATGTGATTCGCATCCCAGCAACGGGCTGGGGAGACCGCTTTACTCAGTCGGCAAGGCGCGCATTCGTGGCCCAGATACGCACAATGCAATATATCAAAAAGAATACAACTCTCCCAATTCCGGAGATTTACGGTTATAACGACGGTTTTCGCAACGAAATCGGCGCACCCTTCATGGTTATGGGCTATGTGCACGGTGTTCCTGTGAACAAAAGGTGGTTCGACGAATCGGGGCCGGGTATTTTGGAAGAACGGCGCCTTAGGATCTTGGATAGTCTTGCGGAAACAATGTCACAGCTTCAAAACCTCAAATTTGACAGGATTGGCACATTAGTCTTTGATCAAGGGGGGCTCACGATCGGCCCTTGCTACCGCTGGTACGATGGGACGTTCGGACAAGCAGACTATGGTAAAGTTCTTAGGGTCGAGGAATCTGGGCCCTTCAGCTCATCGCAAGAATACCTTCAGCACTGCCTAGCTTCGCGTGAGGGAGGTGAAATTTCAAAGGATCCAATTGTCAACGCAGGTTCTCGGGCGCTGCTTGAGATGATCATTTCGTGCCTGCCACCCTCGACCAACGGAAAATCCGACAACGAGAGTTTCGTCCTTGGCTTGCAAGATTTCAACTGGCAAAACATAATGACCGATGAAACTGGAAGGGTCACTGGTATCGTCGATTGGGACAACGTACAAACCATGCCCAGGCACTTTGGGTACGCATGTTTCCCCTTCTGGCTCGCCGTGGACTGGAACCCCGTTCTGTATCACTTTCGTTTACGAAGGTCGTTCAAGGAAAACACTCCCGAAGCGCTAAGATATTACCGGCAAGTTTACTATAACATGATGGCAAAATATCTCCACAACGTGAGCGATCTGAGGCTCGTACGGAAGTCACACATTTTCGGCTCTCTCCTTACCGCGGCTACGAATCCCACCACCAGGGAACATATCGTGAGGAAGATTCTTGAAGAAGCTATGGGTGCAGATGAGCAGGCCGAAGACGTCCGTAAGCTCATACGTATGGCTAGCGGCGGTCTCTCTGCCACAGAAGAAGACTCGATTTTGCAAGGATTTCGAACTTTACTTTTCGTTCCAAACTGAGCGATCTTGCTGGCAGCGTTCTGCTGATTTCTGGTTTAAAATATTGTAGACATGCAACCTGATTCGTTTGAGGTCTAAAAAGAAGTTTTATTTTTTCTCCTGAATTCCAAACTAGTAACTAGGTATCAGCCCCTAGCCTCCATCATTGCCCTTTGCCGCTGACTCGCTGGGTAGGCTTCCTTGCCACCATTAAGTACATTGGAGTGAACAACCCTTCTCTCCCACCAGCCACCAGGGCTTCTGCCCCCTGTGAAAGCACTTTCAAAGTATCTAACGTCCCAGGAGGAGCCAAACGCACACCTTCTAGCACCCCGACCAACGTACTCATCGCCATTCGCCCCATCCAAGTCAACCTCAGCGCAGTCAAACGCTCCCAGAGCGTACCCCCAGCGCGAAACTCTCCTGCAAGGGGTGCGTACCATGGAATTTCGTCCGGATGAGCAGCCAGATCTTCCTCGTATTCTAGTAGGAATCCCGCGGCTTTGATGGCGCTCACGGCGTGCTGGCGTGTCATCATACTCGCTATACCGTTCCCGCGTTCGATTCCGAGACGCATGGCACGATGACGGGGATCGGAGTCGTCATATTTGTCAGTCATGACCCATTCATAGACGCCAAATGCACCGCCTGGTTTGAGAACATTGTAAACCTGCTCGTAGGCGCCTTGGAGGGAGGGAGCATGCACGGTCGCCTCGATGGCATAGACGGCGTCGAAAGAATTCTCAGGGAAGTCAATGTTCTATAGGATGTAGTTTAGTACGAATGCTTCCCTTTTTGACAGCGGAAAAGAAACATACCATGAAGTCCCCCTTGACGAAAGAAACTTTGGTGCTAAGGCCTTGCCGTTGAGAATGCAGGGTCGCACGCTGGACCTGATATCCATTGTTGTTCAATCCAACAACGGTGCATCCCGTAAAAGTTGCCATCTCCCTTGCTGGACCTCCGACACCACAACCAACATCCAACACGTGCATGTCTCGTTTTAAGCCCATGAGATATGCCAAATAGTGCTCGTGTCGTGCTAGAGCCTGCCGAAATGGCTCGCCAATTGCGAACCGACAGAGATGGAATGATTGAGCCCATGCTTCTTCATAGATGTCGGTCGCAAGATCATAGTAACTATTACACCTCCGTCAGCGCCTAGGATGCTAAAGTTGAAAAGGGAATCAAGAAAGCTACCCATTCACCAATGACATGTACTTGCTTATTCTGCCGTCTCTCTCGTCATCGGTGTTCTCTCTTGCTTTTCCATCGTTTGCGTCCCAGAAGTTCAAATAGTTGTCTGCGATTGCACGATGAGATTTGTGATCCTTTTTCAGCATGGACAAAAACGCATTCTGCTCAGCTGCTGATTTCGCGTGCATTGGCTCGACTGATGGCTCGAAATGGTGCATTTCATTGGCTTGAGGAGGTGCTGACGACATTGATTGCTATCCGGTGATGGCCAAGGTATAGCACTGCTTCATAAGGGACAAAACACCGGGCTTTACTGCGGGAGCAGCAATATTTATACATCAGAGGGACTGACAATCGCATCCATCCTCTGTATCTTCCGGATCCAAACCAGCGATCTTCATTCTCATTCCCCGATGCCAGTTGCCCGGACGTACTCCATCATTGCTCCCACAAGATCTTCACCACAGCCCTCTGCTTACTGTTGGCCCAAGAAACGTCCACGCAAGTGGTTTTGCGGTAACAAGAGCTTCAGGGGGGTCCCTTGGGGAGAAGACGCAGGGTTTTGGGCTGTGTGTTGAACGAGTGTTGGTTGTGAGCTTCCGAGAAAGATCACGCCATATCTGGATTCTTGCAAGTGGCACGGGACAGCTGCCATTGGAAGCTGCCGGGACGAGAAGAAGCAGAGATCCGGATGCTGGGGCGATGTGGAGAGAGGATGCGGTCCGGGTTGCTGGGTTTGTGTAAGAGAGGCCGGAACGGGAGAGTGAGACTCCGGGACAGGGAGAACCAAACCGCCAGCGACCTTAGCTCCAAAGACCAAGCACCGGTGCGTGGAATTGTAGTTTGAGTGTACTTCGCCGTGTGGAATTGGGTTCATGGCGTATGAGCTTATCAGAAACCGAAATCTTGCAATACATTGACATCAATTCATTTCCCTACCGTTTAGACCACATAGGACAAGTCGTCTGAAATACATAGATCAGTGGTTACAATCCACCTCCCAGGAACAAAACGTCTAAGATGATGCCCGTGTCTCAATTCCCAAAAATGGCCATGACGGGTCTAAACTACAATCATTTCTTCTCAAAAAGCTCCTCAACCCGATCAATCAAGTCAGCCTTTTTACCCGTGGTTGGCAGATTATGACTTGATAGAAAGTCCTTTAGATAGACCACCGTAAGCTAAAGGAGCAAATTAGCTAAATGATCACCGCGTGTGGAAGAACGAAATAGGTTCAAACCTTGTTCAAGGTGCCTTTTATATAATGCATCTTCACCTCCTCGTCGCTGGTGCCTTCAGCCTTTACCTTTTTAGTTGCTCGTCCATCGCCTTCAGCCGCTTTGCTGGGTGCGGGCCTCTTAGCCAAAGTCGTAACTGGCTTTGGGCGATCGAGCTGCCGATACTGGTCTTCCAGTTCTTCGCCCCAGGCAACAACGAATTCGCCAGCACGCTAAAAAAAATCAGCACTGGCCATGTCCAAATGGTATTTGTTGGTGCTCCAGCTCGCCACCACACAAGCTTGGGAATATTATTCACAAACCTTGTCAATTTGCTTATATTTGGGAATCGTTTTATCTTCGGGTTGCTCCGGTAAGTCCTCGTCAAGCGCCAGCGCTTGAAGAATGCGATAGTGCCATTGCAAAGCTATTCGCTTGTTAGAGATCTAAACTGAACTGGAACGGGTTAAGGTGACCTACAAGGATTAGGGTACTTTTGCGGGTCATATCTGCTCTTGGGGAGTTGTAACTTCTGAATGACATCTCTCATTTTGTCCACCAAAGGTTCAGGGGCCACTATATGTTCCGTTTCGGGGTTTCTGCGGATATCGTCCGCAAAAGGTAACGGTAGAATCCACATTCCTGGTGGGATAACTTGGGCGCCCTGTTCGTCGAGTTCCTCTTCCCCTGGGATCATCGCAGCCATGACCGGAGCGGCGTTCTTTCGGGCAACAAACCATACAAGAGCATACTTCCCTTGTTTGAGGAGTGTCTGCTGCAACGCTGAGAAGACACGAGTAGATCCTACAAACACTCCTTCAGAAGGGTATATAAACGTTGGTTGCTTAATCGACGCCCAAATCGGAAGTAATGACATGGATCTGAACCCGATTATACGGATGACTGGATCACCAAAGTTTCTCAACGCACTCTGCTCTTCTTGGGTGAATGTGATCTGCTCGCCCCCAAATTTGTAAGCTTTCCTGATCTCCCATTTTTCGACTTCCCGTGCAGAGTCATCCGCCATCTGCGTAGTTATACCCTTTGCAAGCTGCGGCTCTTCACCTCCTAACCACACATAGCAGCTTCTCGCTGGTTCTTGTCGTTTGAAAATAATGTATCCGGTGACGGATATCTTGAAATCGGGACCGATTTCTAATGGTATACTGGAGAATAAAGCACGACGAGGTGTAGATTTTGAATTGATCGAAGATAGCAGGCTATTCAATATCGATATGCCGTCGCCACCGCTGGAAGTGGGTTTGGACGTGTGAGAGTAATCTGGAGCCTCTGGATCCGTTGGAGAAGCTCGATATATTATATCCTAGTCAGGTCAGTATCGGTTTGATAGAACGATACACATGAAACGTACATCGTAGAACTTGGACGTATCAAAATCTCCTTCGGGGGTGGACAGGGGAAACAATTCAATTACGACACCCAAGTCATACAAGTCCTTCGCGCGAACAGTAGCCGCAGATCTCATCGCCCTATCCTTGGCGTGTGGATTATCATTGTTGGTCACAATAAACAGTCGTCGAGACGAGAAGTTAGGGGCCTTTGTCGTGAATATCTGGTTGGCACAGAACAAGACGTTGGCCATCGAAACGGGCTCCTTGGAGGGAACCAGGATTTCAGCAGCCCTGTCTTCATTTTCTACCAACGCCCGGAGTTCTTTCACGTCTGACGCGAGTGGCACATCAAGGTCTGTGAATAGGTAGCAATGGGGGTAGGGCAGGCTCCCCCTTCCGTCTTCGTCATCGGCATAGAACTTTGAGGATTCCGTCCCATAAAGCAAAACGCCAATCATGTCTTTGGGGTTTGATATGATCCGCTGCTGCATCAAATGATATGCACATTTGAGCGCAGCAGTAGCTGGAGATTCCGGTCGCGTCCGCTTGGAGCCGGAGTTCGGATCTACCGTCAACATAGATTCGCTAATTTCGATTGCAAAGAGGACGGCATCTTTGACGCTTTTGTATCCCTATTTCGATCAGCGGGTGCAGCCTGGAGACATCAGAATAGCTCTCACACTCTCATCAACCTCTTCCTCCTCCTCAAACGTATCTTCTTCGCGATTGTACTCGCTGTCAGCCATTGCCACGGCTATCACTCATTCAACGAGGTCAAGCTCTTAGTTACTGTGTAAAATGATGAGAATCACAGAGAATCAGCTCATCGTCCCGTCGCCATTGCAGCCTAGTCGCGATGAGGTAATCAACGGTGACGCGCCAAAACGCCAGGTCACGTGAGGAACTATGACATCCCTCCGCGTTTGATTGGACGGGCCAAGCTAGCTCCGGCTTCTCCAGGAAAGCTGATAGCAGCGAGAGAAGAGACAAGTCAGGTTGGCCAACAGTCCAACAGCCAGCCTCATTTTCAGTGTCTTTTGCTGCTGGCCAGCTATCCTAATACCCAAAGTTTTTGCACAAAAGCAGAACAAGTCAGAATGGCCTTGCAGAGGTCGATGGCCAGGTTGTGCCGGCGGGAGATGGGCGGCAGCATGTGGAGAGCATCGAGCATTGCAAACAATTATAGCCAAAAGGGATGCGGAATGGCCACCGCAGTGCCGCCCGTCACGCAAAGCTCGACCGGAGCCAAAGGCCCCACTGCGATGGTCTTTTTGAATATGGGCGGACCCTCGACAACGGACGAGGTCGGCGACTTCTTGAGCAGGCTATTCGTGCGTATTCTTTGGGCCACCGTTGGCTGCCCCCATGCTTATTGCTTACACAGGCGGATGGCGATTTAATACCTCTTGGTCGACTTCAATCCTATCTCGGACCCCTCATATCCCGTCGAAGAACGCCCAAAATTCAGAAGCAGTACGCAGAGATCGGCGGCGGGTCTCCAATCCGGAAATGGTCTGAATACCAGTGCGAGGAGATGTGTAAAATACTGGATAAGATCTCGCCTGAAACCGCTCCTCATAAGCCATACGTCGCCTTTCGATATGCCGCTCCCCTAACAGAAGAAATGTACACTAAACTACTCGACGATGGATTTGGTGGAGGCCGGGCAGGTCGGGCGGTAGCGTTTACTCAATATCCCCAATACTCGTGCTCCACAACAGGCAGTTCACTGAACGAGTTATGGAAATGGAGAAACCGATTAGAAACGAAGCGTGGGAATGGCGGGGTCGAACCGACTGGTACAATACAATGGAGTGTGATCGATCGATGGCCAACCCATGCTGGCTTAGTCGAGGCGTTTGCTCAGAACATCGAGGCACAGTTGAAGACATACCCTGAAGAGCGAAGAAAGGATGTTGTGTTGCTATTTTCAGCTCACAGTCTACCAATGAGTGTCGTCAATCGAGGTATTGCCCTTTGGCCACTCCAGTTTTTGTGCAGCATCAGCAGCTAACCCATTCGACCAAGGTGACCCTTACCCTGCCGAGGTGGCCGCAACCGTTCATGCCGTGATGCAACGGCTAAAATTCTCAAACCCTTATCGACTTTGCTGGCAGTCGCAAGTTGGGCCATCCGCATGGCTCGGCGCGCAGACCAGTCACACTGTTGAGAACTACGTGAAACGCGGCCAGACCGATCTCTTACTTGTCCCCATCGCCTTTACCAGTGATCATATTGAAACTTTATATGAACTCGACCAGGAAGTCATAAAGGATGCTAACAGCCCGGGGGTGAAGCGCGCTGAGAGTTTGAACGGCAATCCGGTATTCATCCAGGGCCTTGCAGACCTTGCAGCTGAGCATTTACGCAGTAACGAGACTTGCTCCCTCCAGATGACTCTAAGATGCCAAGGCTGTACGAGCGACAGATGTTTATATCAGAAGAAATTCTTTGCTGGGCCGCAGTACAGCCATCTTGTACGATAAACGACAGATTAAATGTATGATTATTTGGAGAATTTCCCTGTCACCACTTCTTGGGCGCGAGACGTGTTTATGGGCGTTTGCTTGGATAGACTGGTCAAAGATCTTCAGCATTCATCCTCCAGTGTATTTAGAAATCAGGATACTCCCTACAGATGAGGCGGTCATCACAACACTGCCTGTTACGCACCATAATTAGAAAATGTGCCTGACCACGGCTGGAATGCAACGCTGCAATTACGTCAACTGTTGGGACAAGCATTGACTGGTGACACCCGTCCCAGCCCTTGCATGTCAGACCAAAAAGCAAATCAGAAAGCAACAAATGCTGCAGCCTCGTGGAATACCATGTGCAGACTCAACAGGCCCAAGCCCATGATGATCTGTCAGTTGCAGACCGATTTGCCGAACAGCTCAAACACAACCCGGGATGGTTATCTGCTCTCATGCACTCACTCTTCGCTAGTTAACTAACCGCTAGTTAGTGCAGGATATCCAAGTTCTGGCCTTGAAACTGTATCAGCCCTTCATAATGCCTGTCAAGGGCGTTCCAAGTCCTCTTCTTCTTTCGACTTGCTAAATACATACTGTCAAACCTGTCGGGTTAAGTTCCTCACCGTCCAAAGCCAAATGAATTCGGTAGTTTACCCGTCCTCAAACCAAAGCCCACCGCAAAGCTTAGCCCGCCCAAATGCCGGTTCAAGCACCCAGTACTCTAGGGCACGAGGGCGAAAGTGCGATTCATGGCCGTCCCAACCGCCATGGTCCTATGATCACTGAGAATATGGAGGAAGAAATCGTGGACGAGCGTACAACGCTGCTTGCGCGCGACGGTTCGGATACCTCGGATAGGACTTCGACTAACGACAAGCACGCTGAAGAGTGGACGGCTGCAGGATTTGCAGGCTTGCCCTGGTGGAAACGGCCTTCTGTAAGCCGCCTCTATGTTGTCTCTCGGTTATAAGCAGCCGGTTCTTGTGGCCTGACAGTTGCGTTCCGTTAGATCTTCTGGGTTATTCCGCCGTTGCTCCCGTTTACTATCGCATTCGGCGGTGTCGCAGTTCCCAAAATCAACCTGATTCTGACTCTAATTTGCCGCGACTACCTTGCTGAGAGGAGCGTCAAGGATCCCACGTTTACGTATCTGCCTGTGATATTTGGTGAGGACAATCCACAATGTCGTATCCCCGAGGTTCAGGCACTGGTGTCGAGGTTCCAGCTGATGCTCAACCTGATTGCGGGAGGCCTCGCCGCAATTGCAAGCCCAAAACTGGGCGTACTTTCGGATGGATATGGACGAACAAAGATCATTGGACTGGCGACACTTGGGACGTTGCTTGGTGAAGTGCTCACGGTGCTCGTTGCGGCACGCCCCGATATCTTCCCCCTAAACCTACTTCTGCTGGGTGCTCTGGTCGACGGCTTATTCGGGTCTGTCACGACGGCTGTTGCGCTGACTCAATCATACGCGGCTGATTGTATCCCACCAGAAAGGCGAAACGTTGCGTTCGGGTATTTTCACGGAGCTTTATTTAGCGGCATTGCGCTTGGCCCCTTGATCGCAGGCTATCTGATCAAGCTCACGGAGAATGTCCTCATAGTATTTTATTCTGTTCTGGGATGTCAGTTGCTGTTCCTCCTTTCCGTCACCCTCATCGTGCCGGAATCGCTCTCGAAAGAACGCCAGGAACAAAATCGGCGGAGACGAAACATACAATTGACCGGGATGCGCCTATCCTGGAAACATTTCAATCCCTTGGACTTTTTGAAGCCACTCTCTATATTCTTTCCGCCAAAAAGCAAGGCAAACGCATTGCTACCTGGCGAGACAAAGAGGTTACATGATTTACGACGGAATCTAATCATCTTGGCCGCTATTGACGCCTCGATTTTCGGTGTGGCCATGGGGACGATGGGTATCTTGATCATTTACGCGGAGTACATGTTTCACTGGGGCAATTTCGAATCCAGCATGCTTGTCTCACTCACCAGCTCCGTCCGGGTGGTTCTTTTACTAGTCGTTCTTCCAACCATAACTCGACTGGTTCGTGGACGTGCATCTGGTAGAAGTCACAACACTGGATCGGATATGCTCGACATTGTTGTAATCAGGATATCCGTTCTATTCGACATGCTGGGGTATGTAGGATATTGCCTCGTTCGGTCCGGTCCGCTATTGATGCTATCCGGGGCCACTGCGGCTATGGCGGCCATGGCTTCGCCGACATTACAGTCGTCTCTCACTAAACATGTCCCTGCAGATCGAACTGGACAGCTGCTAGGCGCCATTGGATTATTACATGCCCTTGCTCGTGTGATTGCCCCTACGGTATTTAATTTAATATACAGTCTTACAGTTGGAACATTCCCTCAAACAGTTTTTATTTGTTTGGCGGGATTAATCTTCGTTGCATTCCTATCTTCTTGGTTTCTAAAACCTCACGGTTAGTAACCCTGCTTCGGATCATGACCATTTACTGACCTCGACCGTATAGTATATCTGCCCGAGTCGCTCCCTGGTAGCAATGAGGTGGAGCCAGAGGACCTTGAAGATGTTACCGACGTTTTATAATCTTCCCCATGCACATATTGATATTGTAGTGTACATACATTTGTTAGATTTGGTGCGAGAATCCTGGAGCCCGCTTGCTGTCTCTCATTGATACCCTGAAAGGCAAGCCGAACTTATTTTCATTACAGCGCGAACAATTTCAATGGCATAACGATCCTGTGGATACGACCTGATCGATTATGCTGGACTTTGTTCATTTATCTCTCGCAAACGGTCCTCCGTTTAACACCATTTATGTATCGATAGGGCTTTGGTGTTGTTCAAAACACATCTTTTCCCATAGAGTTGGCACGGCTTTCCAGCTTTATGGCACCCAGGCGGTGCCTCGCTTGCTATTTCTTTTGCAATTATAGAGGGTTTCTCAGCGGATATATGGTCGATTTTTCTCGAATATAAACGAAGAACATGAACAAAGAACATGAACGAAGAACATGAACGAATCTCTTACATTTCGAAAGATTTATTTTCTTGGGCCCCATAACATTGATATGGATTCATCAGTCTTCGTTAATTATAAGAGTCAATGTCCGAAAACGCCAGCAACCATTCAAAACACAGCCTCCCTTGCTCAACGACGGGGCGCAACTTGGTAACATGTGACGACTAGCAGGAAGAGATAAGAGGTGGGATAATCACTACTGTGCGGCACATTACTGCGAGAGTGAAGAATAGAAAGACGAAGAAGACAAGGCATCTTGTGCTGCAACACAGAATTTATGAAACTCTTCGAAAGTGGTCTGCTACCATTATGTATTGGCTCGATTGCGGAAGACATCCATTTGAAAAGGTTTGAGTTATAGTGGTGAAGAAGGTCAAAAGCAAGGGGCCAAAGCCATCACATGTTGTCACACCCTGATGCATATTAGGCAACCCTAGTTGTAGTATCAATTTCTTGGATGGAGAGGGTCTTCAACCTTGATAGTTTCGCCCAGCCGTGAGCCCTTTGGATGATGCTCATCAAGGATTCCCACCCAGATCAACGGTCCTCGCCTTGCTGATGGGTCGTCGTTATAGGCCTTCATAGTAACGATCTCCATGGGGAGCTGAGCCCTGAAGCCGGGATAGGCTGCGCACCGCCCCCAAAACTTGCTGGATGAAACAGGAAAATTGGGCCTGAATGTCTCTCCCGGCCACTCCGAAAGGCGGGAGCCGCTGGGAACATGTTCTGTGCTCTCGACTTCCGACTCCCGACCCACAAAATCTATCGTGATTGGTATTGATGTCGAGGTTCTGGGTCCACCCGTGAGATGGTGGTGCTTTGCTCTACAGCACGATCTCCAATCAAGCTATTAAGCCTGTGGTGTGCTTCTGCACCAAGTATCACTACGGACGATCAGCATCCCTGCGTGACCGGAGAAAGTATTGCAGGTGAATGATGGAGACGGAGATTGGTACTAGACTGGGCGGCTATCCAGATTTTTGCATATGTCGCACCGCATCATCAGCCCGGAAAGGGATTCCCCCCAGGACTCCGTGCAAGGATGGCTGAACATCCCATGCTCGTGAGGCTCCGTGCAAAAACCGGGCAGATTTTTCTCCTTTGGCATCCGACGAGGTGAGAGGTTTGCCAGCAGATTGTCTGTCTACGGATTCTCGAACGCGAACATTTTGATTATTCGTCTCATCTACACACCCGCTCCTCATAATGGCGAGGCTATCATGGGATTGTCTGCCGCTTTACCTTCAGATATTCCTTGTGACGACCGCATTCAGCGCAACATGCTACTTTCCTGACGGCAGCGAAGCCAAGAGAGACGTCCCTTGCAAGTCGAATGGAGCTACCTTTTGTTGCCGATACAACGATATTTGCATGAGCAATGGAATCTGCATGGGTGTGGGCGATCAGCCATATGTTATGTCGCGCGGCACCTGCACTGATCGTGAGTGGAAGGCCGAGGGGTGCCCGTCAGTGTGTCGAGGACCGAAAGATAATGCAGACGGTGGTGTCGCCATTACCGTCTTTCGGGGCGGCAAGCACCCAACATACTGCTGCGGTGGGATTACCACGAAGGGAGACACAAAAGTCTGTGACAACGAAGACCTGCCATTCTCACTGCAAGACGGAGAAATGATATTCGGCCATGCTGCTCTTTCTAATGTCGTCTCCTCCGCTTCAGCAACAGAGACTGACACTACACCTACTACGCCGCCTGCTATCTCGCCGCCCTCGAATTCACCTTCCTCCGGGTCATGCTCTTCCAAGTCCAGGGAAGTGGCTATCGGTGCGGGAGTCGGTGTCCCGCTAGGGATAATTGCTTTGTTTGCTATTGGAGGGATGATATTCGAACGACGGAAACGCAAAGCGTATATTGCGCAGGGACAGACGGCGTATGGACAAGCGCAATGGAGCCAACACCCTCCCGAGACGAAACCGCACAATCCGGGGTTCGTTCAGTATGCCCCAGCAGAGCTGGGTGGAGGGGAAGTGAGGAAGCCAAAGACAAACAGCGCTGTGAACATCTAGGAAACCAATGTGATTGGATATTGTCAAGGGATTCCGATGAAAGAGGTTTTGAATAACCAAGTTATTTAGGAGGATACCATTCGGCGTTGATAACTTCATGTATATATAATGAGTGATGCTCAGTCATGGGCCTCCTGTTGAGAGTGCGGAGGGTTGAAAGGTCCTGTGAGCATTCGACGGGGGCGAAAATCGGGTTATAATCTCGAATAATCATCGCATTTACTCTCACTGAGACAGGTTTCTGACATTCCAAGCCTGTTGACTCTCTTTGAGAGTGTCTTTGTCGTTTATTGAAACTATCCATCTCTATGAATCCCCAATGTGGCAAGCCACTGGAACATCGTTTATCCGATAATACCACTGATTACATAATCCGCATCGAGGGAAAGAAAATCAGTCGGGAACGGACTTCAATCGAGTGCAATTCAGCGAAGCGAGTTGATAGCGGCCTGGTGCACCCTGGAGTGCCTGCCATTGTTTCGTCATATCCCGAAATATGCACAGTTGAGCCACTTCTCCAACCCCAATTCATGACAATGATCCCTCCGCCCGCAACTGGCACCGCCCTTCCCTCACGAGGAGCCCTTCGTGTCCTCCGACGCCTGGCATTGGCGGGTTCGACCGTGGGAGCAATTGGAGGCGCCTGTACCGTTGCTACAATCAGCTATGAGGTCAATCGTCGGGTTCAGCTTGTGGAGAACCTGGTCGAAAATAAGCGGAGTTTGAAGACAACATGCCCCAATTACGATTCAGCTGCGAGGGGCGCGATGGTTGCGAAGATGATGGAGGCGGCGGAAGCTGGCGAGTTTCTGGGGATAGATTCGATGCGGCAGAAACAGGAAGGCGAGGTCAAACAGAATGCTGAGGATGGGAGGACTTTGAGTGGGCCGGCTGGGAAAGGCCCATCAGAACCGAAGACTACAGACCCGAACGCATTTCGAAGGAGATTGGAAGCTCTGACTTGGATGCAGTCTTTGCATGGACCCTGGAATATCCGACAGCCTGCTCTCCGTCCTAGCACCCGCAAATACAATCGAAATGCAGATGACACGAATCTCACAAACCTATTAACCGAATTACAATCGAAGGATGACGGGGCAGTAGATTCAACGCCGCCCCTACCTTCATACAGACTACGATACCGGGATAGCCAGGAGGAGAATGCTGCTCTTGCAGAGAAACTATTGCTGCAAGGCAAACCTATAGAAGCATCCCAACGGTTTTTACGTGCATACCCTACTGCGACTCCCACTCTACCAGAAGAAGCGAGGCAGCTCTGTATCAAGCTTTTCGAGGATAATCTTAGAGCTGATAATGTGCATTTAGCATACCGGTTGTTCCGCTGGATGGGCTTTGCGTCTATAATTTCTCAGCAGGCCTGGGAGTCTCTGATCCTAGGCCTGGCGAAAAAATGGAATTTGGAAATGATGGCCACTATTTACACTGATCATGCAGACCGATTCAAGCTCCCAAAGTCGCTTCGATACTCGGTGCTAAGGTCGCTTACCGACTCGTTCCGATTGGAGGAGGCGAAAAACATGGTATTCCGGTTCTTAAAGGAAGACGAACAATGCTCCCTATCTGCCGTCTATCTCGGAAGGCTGTGGAAAAAATCTCGCAATGTCGAACTTGTGAAAGCGCAATTCGATGCGATTGTAGCAGAATTGCAAGATAACGAGATGCCAGTGTCCCGAGTGCTCTATAATGCGCTGCTAGAAGCCTATGTCGAGTCCGGACAGGATGAATTAGCTGATGATCTGGTGGACCGGATGAAGTCAAAGTACAATTACTCTCTTCCTATACGGACCTTAGGTTTGCTAGCATACGGCCGGGCCTTGAAAAGTGATTGGGAAGGCGTCGAGCGGCTATTTGACGAGATCCAGAAAACTGAACCTCAGCACAATTCAAAATGGTTTGCAAAGATTTTCGATCGGGTCTTTTTGGAATATTTCCTGGGGAATTCGGCCTCCAATATAAGGAATTTCCTCTTTCATGCCATCGAGAAATACAACCTCGTCCCGGATAACGTTTTATTTGAGCACATTATCCAAGCCTACATCCAGAAAGGAGACCCAACAATGATGATAGAGCTCATCGAAGTTGCACAAGCCAAAGCTTGGCCTATCGTGATGAAGCGAGGTCGTTTCCTGGATCTGCTGCGACTGCAGCGGGCAAAATGTGGAAAAGCCAATGTCGGATTATGGCAAATGTTCCGCCGTTTTGGGCGCTTTTCCGTCTCGCAGCGCATTCTCGGCTTTAACAAAAACGACTTCTCTGAGAACGGCATTCTCAAACTGCCCAGAAAAGAGGAGCCATCGATATGGTCCCGCAAGCCCGATGCGCAGCGAGATTTCCATCAATTCCCTGCTCTTTATCAACAAATGATCCATTGTATGCATGTGGGTTCAATGGATAAAGCCATAGAGCTTTTCAAGGAAGCAAAAATGTTAGGCAAAGTAATGAGGGAGTTAGATATTGATTTGGCGTTAACTGCAACTATTATCCACAACGGATCCCTGGAGGAAGCGAAATCTATTTTGGCCGAAGAGAAAAACTCATTCCCGTGGATTGACAAGTCATCGATGCCGCAATTCTTCCAAAGACTACTGTCCACCAACAACGCGTCCGAGTCGGAAGCATTGACAATGGCTATTCTGAATTTTTACAAGATTCTTGAGCGCCAGGTCTTCCCGATGAAGCACCATATTACAATATCCACATGCAGCAACTTGATTCGACGCGGTCGAACCAAGAATGCTCTACGGCTCATCCGAGCGGTCAACAGATCCAAGTTTGGAGGGACGACGCCATTTGATTCCGTCGGTGTGCTAATGATCGCGAAGGCATCATCCATCGTTGGCAACCTCGCGGGCGTCCGATGGGCCATTCTCACGGCGTTGAATCGAGACTCGGCCGTCAGTAAGGATTTTGTCGCGGAGATTTACCAAACCATCGACCGTTTTAAGAGTCGCTCTCCAGAACCTCTGGGTTCAAATAGTGACGCCTACTCTCGAGAAATTAAGTACCTCGAAGACCTAGCAGAGGTGCTTGGCCAAAAGGAGAAGTTTATTTCCCGCCTATCGCCAGGATCTACTATTCCCGTGGATCAAAAACCTCAGGTTCATGGAGATGGGGGTCCTAAATTCACCGTTCCTGAAATCATAGACACCAACGGGATTTCCTTGTCACACACCCTGTCAACCTGGCTGGAGAGGGTGCAGCTAGAACATGCACTTACATCCACCAATACCTATTACTAGTGAATTCACCTGATGAGTTTTATTCCCTTTTCTTTCTTGTTGCTCGAGACACCATTTGGAGGATCCATCTCTCATGTTGGCAATGTCAAACTCGCTTGATGCTATATCTTTTCACACTTCCTGACTTCTTCCTCTGCGCGACTCTGTAATGGCATCAAATCACAACTACATCGATGCCGTACGAAGACTCTAAACCTCGATGTATTCCGATTCCCGTCCCATTTCTTAGTTTTCTTGTTTCTCACTTATTAACTGGCGGCGCCGGCATGGTCGGGGTCGGTATTTGGGAAAAGCCTAGGAGTTACCCGTCATCCCCAGTTCTTGATTTCCATGTACAATAGGACTATCATAGTGGTATATCAATGAACCAGTGCAGCGTTGTCTGTATATTTATTCTCTCGCTCCCCCTTTTCCGCCGGGACTGTCACATGTTGGTCATGCCACTCTAGACCGCGCCAAGCCCCAAGGGTCCCTGAACTCCAAAATCGGCCCATCAGCGACTTTTCAACTCACTCGCTCGACTTTTCTCCGGCCACCACCACTGCCGCTTTACAGGGAAACGAGAGGATATGCAGTGACCTCCTTGACTCTGCTCTCCGGCTCTCGCACCAACCAGCCCTTTTCCTCCCCAGATGGCTGCCCGGCCCCTGACGAACGGCCGCACCAACGGCTCCGCCCATCCTCAGAACCAATACCACGACGCGGCCGAAGAACGACGACGTGAACATCATGAAGCGGATATTGTGATCATCGGCGCCGGAATCGCTGGCTGTGCACTTGCTGTCGCGCTCGGAAACCAAGGGAGAAGCGTCCTGCTCCTGGAGCGCTCGCTCAAAGAGCCCGATCGGATCGTCGGCGAACTCCTGCAGCCCGATGGCGTGTTAGCGCTGGAGAAATTGGGACTGAGGCACTGCTTGGAAGGCATTGATGCGATTAGAGTGCTGGGCTATAACGTGGTATATCATGGAGACCCAGTACGGATCCCCTATCCGCAAGACGCGAACGATAAGCAGTTTGAGGGGCGGTGTTTCCATCATGGCCGGCTTATCGTGAACCTCCGCAGGGCAGCGCAGTCAACGCCGAATGTCACTGTGGTAGAAACGAAAGCTGTCTCGCTGGTGAAATCGACGCACGGTGACCAGGTTTTGGGCGTGCAGTGCGTCACGAATGGAGAGAAAGACTTCTTTTTCGCGCCGCTGACTGTGGTGGCGGATGGATACGCTTCGATCTTCAGGAAGGAATATCTACCACACACTCCACGGGTAAAATCGAAGTTTTGGGGACTTGAATTAATCGACGCAGAGTTCCCCGTGCCACATTATGGGCACGTTATTCTAGGCGACATTCCTCCCGTCCTCATTTACCAGATCGGAACCCATGAGACCCGGGCGCTGGTCGACATTCCAGAAAACCTCCCTTCGGCATCCGTACAAAACGGTGGAGTCAAAGGCTATCTGCGAAATGTAGTCCTACCCTCTTTACCCAAGAGCTTCCAGCCCGCCTTCTCCGCAGCCATCGACAAGGGCGGCTTCCGATCTATGCCCAATTCCTTCCTCCCTCCCGCAACGAACAAGACACCCGGTCTCATGTTCTTGGGAGATTCACTCAATATGCGTCACCCTTTAACGGGTGGGGGTATGACCGTTGCCTTCAACGATGTAGTCGCCCTCCGAGATCTGCTCAGTCCTGAGAACATTGCAGACTTTTCCGATACGCGACTTGTTCTGAAACAACTGTCCAAGTTTCACTGGAAGCGAAAGGAGTCTTCGTCTGTTATAAACATTTTAGCGCAGGCTTTATACAGCCTCTTCGCTGCAGATAGTACGTGTTTTTCGCGCGGACGCCAGCATCCCCTATTATTTGCCCATCCCAAATCTAACAACATCTTCTCTTAGATCCACACCTCAAAGTCCTTCAGCGCGGTTGCTTCCGCTATTTCCAACTCGGCATGATCGATGGCCCCGTTAGCCTCTTGGCCGGATTGGTTCGTCGACCTCTTGTTCTTTTCCGCCATTTTTACACCGTCGCGTTTCTCTCGATATGGTTGCTCCTGCGCAGTGCGCCACCGTATATGCTTCCCTTCACGATCCTGCAATGCTTTATCGTTTTCTTTACCGCGTGTCAAGTCATTCTCCCGTTTATTTTAGCAGAGTTGAGAACGTGAACTTGGATAAGTACGAGATACTTAGATGGGCCTCCCCCCTTTTTTTTCCCCCTTCCTTTTCTTCCCGGACTTGCGAGTCCCTATTAGCCAAAGTCAGGTATTCTTTCGCACTTTTTCAGCATTCTTCCTGCGATGTGGCTAATGCGGAAAGAATAATATGTATATCCACTCTTGGTCTTCGTTTTGGCGTTTATGATCCCTAAAAAACCTTTTACATATTTGTAATGACCCATGCTTTTTTTCTTGCTTTGCTTCGGTTGTATTAACATCGCATGTTTTTTTTTTATTGCCTTGTTCGTTGGTCTGTCGAGAAGATTTAGATCGGGGTTGGCGCTGTCCCTATGATTCAGAATCTTTGCAATTCTTTTATCTTACTGTGATATGGAATATACAGGGGAATAAATTCTTTTCTTTTTGACTGGCCCTGTTCACTAGCTTCTACATTTATTCGGAGAATTGCGGATACTAAACCCAAATATATCTGCTATTCCTTTCTACATACACAAGCTCAACCGTCAACCGGTTCAAAACAGGGCGGGAGACATCTAATCAGAAATCATAAGAACGGCCTAAAGCAGTTGTATAATACCATAGAAAGAGGATATTCAATCCCCAAGCAACTGAACAGGTAACGTAAACCAGAGTCGAACCGAACTGAGAGCAGCAAAAAACCCCAGAAATATGCCGCAAAAATTCCCCACTAGACAACATAATACTCTCGCGGTGAGCAGGAAAAGGACTTTGCAATACAAGCTGTTAGGCGAACATGCCGCGCATGGAAAGGCAACCTCGTCCCTTTACATACAACAGAGCCCACCCAGGCTTGCTCCAATCTCATATATGCAATCTCTTTTCCGCACTTCATCAATGAAGGTAGTAGTGTATGAAACAAAAAGGGTAAGAACAAGAAGAACGCCATCTGATGTAAATCTTTATACTTGCACATTTTTAGAATGAAAAATTTAGACACGAAACACAAAAGCACCCAAGGGGAATAGAAAGCCATGCAGTTTCTTAATACCATTGATCAGAATGAATTCCAAACAAGAAAAAGGAAAACATAACATAGCATTTTAAGAAGCACAAACCGGGTTACGGATGGGTATTCAACACGACATGAGGTTTCCAGATACAAACAGCACAAAACCAAAGAGCTGGGATAACAAAGAAACCGTGGATAAGGAAATTCGCACAAAATATCATCAAGACATTTCAGGTTTGAACCCTGAAGCCCCTCTGAAAAGGGGTAAGGATAAGCCATGAATACTTCAGTGACCATTGTCAACCAAACAAGACAGAACCTGGGTTATCTATACCGCAGTTTGAACCCAAGTATTTTCCTGTTTTCTCAAGTTTTCCAAGGGCCTGAAGCCCTTTATAGAATTTGAAATCGCAAAGTTGAAAATAATCCCTCCGAGCTCAAGAATTCGTCGAAGGGAAATCAGCATAGCAACCGAATTATGTGCAGTGGGCCGTAAGATTCCACTTTGCGAGGAAACTCGGCATCACCTTCACTATTGCAAGTTCTCGATATATGACTCACCTTACGCCAACCCATACCGGTAAAGAATTGCGTGTATGTACGACATGTATGTACGACACGGTGTGGAAAAGCATACAGCACACTCGCAATAGTGATGACAACCTTTTATCCGCCCTCTTTCGATCGAGACTTTGCGCCATCAGTCTCTCAGCCGCCCTTCCTCGGAAATTGATCTGCCGGAACACTCTCTAGCCGAAGGTTCGAGTCATTTTGTTCCAAAGCCCTTGCGCCTTTCTTACTTTTCCGCTTTGTAGTTTGCCAGCCATTTGAATTCGAATGGTGATAGCCATTAGCGCCCGTATGTAGATGGTGTATGCCGTTGGGTTTTCGGCCGTGGTCACTTTGTTTCTCTCTATACTCGTTGGCTTGGAAAGAATTGGAGTGATCACTGCGACTCCTATTCCTAGACTTGTGAGCAATTCCGTTGGGTTTTTCCAGTTCGAAGCCATTTACGCAGTACTTCGTTGTGGGAGATAACATCCGTGGTTCCATTGTCGGTGATTTGGCAGCATTGAACAGTGGTTGAGAATTTTCGTCCGAGGACCCATTCGCATGCAATCCAGGGAGCTGGTCATCTATAGGATAGAGATATTGTGTGCCGCGGTATTGGTTTGCATCAGTACAGCCCGAAGCATCCAAAGCAACCTTTGGATCAGATAGCTGGAATCGTTGTAGTCGCTCAGACAATGTCTCCACCCTCCCCATCTGGCCGGTAGCACCAATATCATTATGGTTTAGGCTTGGCTCCCATCCGTTAATCTGACCAGTGCCGCGGGATCCATGCCGGGTTTCATAGCTGCTGCCAAACAAGTCATCATACGAGCCTTGTTCATGAAGACCTTGAGAAAGCGTGTCTGGAGTCGTTCGAGGCGTATCATACACTTTGTCCGTGGAAGATGATGTGCTAAAATCCGTCATAAATTGCTCGCTTGAATGGTTGGTTACGGAATGACGGTGTTCGCTAGGAGGAACAGAGCCATCAATTATTAACGGGCCGCGATCAGGCAAAGTTTGTGACCGGGTTAATCGCTGTGGCTGCGAAGATTGAGAACTAGGTTTCGGTAAATTGAGATGTTCCAGGCAGCCATTAGATTGCTCCGACGTCGTAATGTAAGCGCGATACTCAGGGGAGCTATGGAGGTAAGCAGGAAGTTCACAATTATGAACGGAAAGCCCTGGATGCGCCGAGGCTAGATGACCACGATATGGCCCATGAGACTGGGTAGAGTCACCAACATAGTATCCCACGTACTCTGAAGGGACGTTTTCATCCGCCAAACTCGATTTCGGAATGTGAACACCATTCGGTGAATATACCTCTGCCTCGACTGTGGATCTATGGAGGAATTCCGGCGATTTCCTTGGGCATGAATCTTGGTGAGTAGCCGGTGTGTACGTAGAAAATGTTGGTATTACCGTGGATGGTAGAGGACGGGCAGGTTGCGATTGAGCCCGTAGTCCTCGTGGTGAGTTGTTTGCAACTGAGGATCTGCGGTGACTGCGTCTTGCATCTGGCACAGCAGACATCAAAGAGGGAGACGGAGGGTTTGTGTTCGTGCCTTGAACACTTGGCAAAACCACCGGGATATAAGAAGGGTTAAAGAATACATTTTGTCGAATAGGTGCCGTGAGAGGAGGCTGGTTCACCGAGCCAGCCCGGACTCTTGGGTTCTCCTCGGGCGACATGTTCTCGGCCTGTGGTAAGGGAAAGTGTAGATACGGCTGCCTTATAAGAGTTGGAGGTGCTCGGCCAGTCATCAGCGCTTGATTCTGTAGCTGAATTCGCAACTCTTGTTCCTGCGCCTGGAGAATCTGAATCCGCTGGTAAAGGTGGTCATGTAGAAGCGTTTGAGCTTGTTGGGCTTGCAAGGCAATATCCGTGGTGAAACCCGGATTTGCAGACCGGATATTATTCCGGTTAGCAGTGTTGGATGCTCGACGACCCATATTGCTTCCTCCACGATGATAGTGGCTCGTATGTCTACCACCCCGACCACCGCCTCTACCACCACGCGAGGGTAGAGCGGGCATCGGGGTTAGTACGGCTCGTGGCTGCGGTGCCGGCCGCTCCCAAGTCCGTTCTTCTTCAGGAGGATACTCGTATTGTTCGCAACATTCTTCCAGGTCGCCTTTCGCAACAGCTTCAAAGGCTCGGCGGAGTTCAAGGTGGAGACCACGAAAAGACGTGTCATCTGCGGTATTCCCTAGATTTCTAGATGTATTGAAAGGCTCCTCCACGCACAATCGATTATTTTGCAAAAGGTGCCAGCCTTTGCCCTCTTTTGATATTAACTTCCCTTCTCGCACAGATATCACGTTTTTCTCATAGTCCAGTTCGTGTCCATAAAATCGGAAGAATTGAAAGAGAAGTTCCCCTAGAGTTGAGTCGTTTTTGTCACCAAAGCCTACAAGCTTATTGAGATCGTCATCAAAAGACGACATGGGTTGCCCGTTGGCTTGTAAGTGCTGTTCATTGTTTAACGCACGTTGTTGGAGGCAGGGAAGTATCGGGGGTGATCGTGTTTGAAGGAAGTTTATGATTAGGCATATCCATGTATACGAACTCAACGTTCCCCCAAGGGCTATGGTAACGTGAGTAAACGAGGACTCGTCGGTTCCACGCAGAAGTACATACCAGCGTCATTTAATATCCGTCGTTTGGTCCAGTACTTGATGATCATGGCAAGCGGCCTGACTCGATCGTCGACATCAACATATGTCCGCATCATTCGAGTATTCTCCAAAGCCATGGTGTTGTTGACATTCATATCACATGCAACTTGAAGCTCTGGGTCCCATATCTTCACAATTGGTACCTTTGCATGAGAAACACAAACAATGCGCTCCATGCCACCTAGTATGGTTAGATTAGCGAATATCGAGTGAGAAGTTGGACGATGTGCCTACTCTTTGCAAGGAATGCTGCTAGAACGCAGACGTGCTCCAACTCTTTGAGTGGAGTTGTTATGCAAATATCCACTACAAAAACGGTCAGTTCAATTTGTACCCCACTCGATTCAAACATGTTGGTAACCCACCATCAGAATCGCTCGAGCACAATTTGTTGCCGGACGATCCAAACACATGCACCTTGATGTCATTCCCAGGCCACTGCATGTTAAGGAGGCCCTCAAGCTTTCGGACGAATTTTATTCTCCGCTCTTCACTTTCCGCTGACGGCAACAAGGTTTTGTAGAGGTCTTTCATATCCGATGTCAATTTTGCTTCTGCTTCGGAGTCCAACTGTTCCTTCAACGGGCCTGCTTCGTCAGGGAGCAAGTCAGCGCCTAAAGAGTATGGCATCCTCCTCCTGAAATGAGCCATCGCAGTTTCATATTTACAACCTCCATACTGCGGTCTGAGCGGGAGGACATGATTGAATTCGGAATGAGCAGAACGAGGTGAACCGCTGCCACGCGTTGGAGAAGGAGATCTGGAGCGGGACCGTGAGGAGAATCGTAGACCATGTGGTTGATGGAAGGGGGTAGCAGGGACGGAACATGATTGCTGAGCGGTATGTGTTGGGCGGAGAGGGAGTTGAGACTGGATTTCCGTGGGGACCGGCCAGGACATATTTGTCGAGGTCTCCGATGCTATCGGTGAACTGTCACCTTCGGTGTGAGAAGATGCGGCATCCCCATAAACCTCCGCTCCCATAAGGCACCCCCCGAAGTTGGTCAACGTTGAAGAAGGAGCGGCCAGGTCAGAATCCAGCACCGTTACCACGGAATCAGAGCACAATCTCTCTAAATTGCCTGGTTGCCAAGGAACTCGTGTAATGTCAGGAAAACAAAGAAGATTTGTACAGCGAGCTCGAGGTTGTTGATTTGCGAGAGGTTCGGAGGTGTGTTGAAGTTCAGGTGGAGGTTGCTCGTCGAGTACGCGGAGGGAGTATTGTGAGCGAAAGCCTACCAAAAGAGGGACTAGTTAGATTCTCAAAAGCAATACAAAGTAGAGGCAAGATCCAGGTTCCATGGAGAAATGAACACGGCTGCTGATCGACCGCTTCGGAAGCGCCGAGGATTTGCGAGGGTGGAAGGAATTTCGAGGGAGACTAGGGGTAGGGGGAGTTTACCTGGGCGATCGGGAGAGGGATTTTAAGGAAAGCAGGCTCTGGCGGGGAGAGCAAAAGGGTATGTCGTCCCAAAAGGAGTTGTGCGAGTGAGTGATGCTGTTCGGCACAGGAGATCTCAGTCGCTGATGTTACATCCAGACAAGCAGAAAGACAAAGCTGAAGCGATGGGGCTCGGTTGCAAATTACCAATGCAAGCAGAAGAACACACAACTGCAGACCGGGACAATTGCCAGATCAAACAAAGGCAGATATGAAAGTGGGAGTGAAGCCGGCTGACAGGGAACGAGCAAGGACCAGATTGGGTTGGCAGTCGTTTGTCGTGAAGAAGATGAAGTGCTGGATTGCTGGGCGGAGAGGCGAGCTCTCTAGGAAGTTGAGGTGAAGTGAGCCAATACAGGATTACAGAGGGGGAGTGAAGCCCTATGTCGCTTTGCGGTATTATTACGCGTCTCTTACCCGGGCAAGTACCGTGCATTTGCCCGCAGACGCGGTGCGCGGGAAAGTACCGGCCTGTACTGGATCACCTGAGTTTACATCACAATACACTTTACATTCTGCACCAACACAACACCAGCATGGTCAAAGTGATAGAGAGGAAGCCTTTGTTCAAGGTGCAAAAATGAGATGCTGCTTGTTGGTCTTAGGAGCTGGGTTATCTATCTTGATATCCCTGACCTCGCCGGGTGACAGCGCCGTTGTCTTCAGCAACCATCCCCGAAGGCGCTAAATTCGGGCCTATCCTACAGTCGTCTTCCTGTGTGGAATTCAGCTGGGTATAGGCGTTTACTTACGGGGGGCACAGGCAGGTAGATGGCCTGGGTCCGCAATTTGTGGTAAAGTTATCCGCATATGTATGTTCATCCCATCATGAACCTTCCCCGGATGGGATGCGTCCTTCGGTCCATGCTCGTGCTCCAAAGGCGCTGGGAGAACGTCAAAGAAAAAGCAAATTTAACAGGGGAGTGAAGCGGACAAAGTCATCCTCCGTTTCTGGCGCGCTGTTTCGAATGGCAGCTCTGGCCGGGATGCCGTCTTCTCTCGTTATTCGCTGCTGAGAAAAACCGGCCATGGAGGGCCAGCTCGTGCGCTGTGAGACCACCCGCAGCCGGCTCGAGTTTACTAAATTTATCCCTCCAGAAAACGTGAGTATCCCAACCAATTCGCAGAGACATTTGCTCCCCCATTGACGCAGTCATCAATATTGCTTATTCGTTCCCCGCATCCCGCATTTCTGCATGCTGACGGGCGGCTTCGAGGGGAATCGTATGTTTTGGGAGAAAAGACTAGCGAGCCTCGTTTCTCGTCAGTGCCCGAAAATTTACCTGCAAACGTATTTGTTGTCAGCAGATTCAAGGGTTTCCTTTTTCCTTTTTTCCTTTTCTCCCTCTCCATCCAAGGGGGGTCAAACCGCAAATTTAAGCTTCCCTCGAAACGCTGAGGCCGTCTTGAGACTCGCGGTGGATGTCACCAACGAAGACCTTTCGGTGAACATGTGGCCGAACTATTCACTGCAGGCGGTCCTGCGTCGAAACGCCCTTTTGCACCCCCCGGGCCTCGGATTGACAGGCTCTAGATACACGGTAATAGTCCACCTGGAATAAGAGAGCAAGCAAACTGGACGTTTTCGGGCCAATGTCACATGTCTCAGGCCTTACTAATAAGCCAGCTCTGCCGAATTGTCGCCAACTCTCTCAATATTCCATGGCTGAACATCAAAGACGATAATCGTTTCCAGCGTTTAACTTTTGGGGGTTCCAGAATCTCCGTGGATGAGCTTGGAAGAGTACATGCCTTTCTCCCGGCTCCCACTTCTAGCTCCTTGTTGGCTCACTTCCTCTCCCTTCAACCACTAGTTATTCCAAGCCACGAATCCAGGGATAACAAAGGTGCTATGAGGCTTTTAAGCCCCAAAAGCTGATACACGCCCCTGCGCTGGCAACGGTGACCTCAAGACGTCAAGCGCCAAAACCCTTGTTGGAGGTGGTTGAATGTTTGTTGAACCACAACAGTGCTCCATTTCGTGAAGAGATTTATCTATACCTCTATTATCTTACGGGCCTACGGTCGCTTTGTCTTTGAGTTCCGACTGCTTGACTTCAAGCTGGGCTTGATCGTTAATAGGATTGGCCCAATCCCCAGCTGCAGCACACATACATAGGGCTGACTTGCAGCCAACCCATGTAGCCTGGTTTTTCAGCGTTCCCATGTATCTCTTTATAAGAGTTGTGCAGTTGTGGATCAAATTACTTGTTTTAGGAGTTCTCAATTGCGCAAAGCTGTTGCCTAAAAGCTGTTTCCAATTGAATTATCAAAATCCCATCCTGTTTGTTGATAAGCGAGACAGAAAAAAACATGCCAATCCAAGCTCCCAAAACCATGCAAGTTACGGAATCTTTAGGTGTCATAGAAGAAAAAGATAAAGTCCCAGCTATGCACCCTTCCACATATACCCAACACCAACCTCAACCTGCTCTCCCGCCTAGCTCTGTCATTATCCGTTATAGATCCATATCCTTCCTCTACCGAGAGCGTCGAGTTCTGCTAACACCCCCAAATCTTGTATCTTCGCGAGCGTCGATACACATGTCACATATGTCCACTATCTCCTTTTCCGCAGTGTATCTGTACTGCGGGAGACAGTAAAGCCCACTTCGAGCAGCCTCCGGGCAGGGAAACGTTCCGCCCATGTCGATGCAGCCGCATCTGTATTTGACAAGGACCTGGACGCACATTGGAGCCTTTGAATGGGGTACTGGTTGGCGCAGTGGGAATCTGAGCGAGGCTTCTTAAAGTGAGCAAGAAACCTTTGGCGTTTGCTTCTAACGGCTTCCGGTTGGTTGGAGGTGGGATATTGCTCGCAAAAGATAGTATGATATCTTCCAGACTATGAAAGTTGGTGATGAAGCAGGGTGGCTTGAAGCTATAAAGTTGGCTCTGAGGCATCAAATGAAGAACAAACACAAGATGCTCCCCTGATAGTTGCGGTTTCCTGCAAAAGATGATATTTCAACATAATGGGAACCAGGAAAAAAGTATTACTGTCATTCCAGCAAAGGGTTTTATACTGGCAAAACAAGTAACAGGTGAAGAAATACAAGACACTGTGAAGATGTCATCTTTCAGAATCTGTAGTGAATTGTTCTTCTGTCAAAGAACTTGTTCTTCAAACCCATCCAAGCACTGTGTGCAAAGAGGATTACAATTGAAAAAAGAGAAATCCGCCGTGTATTAGAAATTGGATATGCCTGGTAGAAAATAGCCCAGCTCAGTAATAACTTACTGGAAATAGCCCGTATCAAAGAATCACTTTGATTTCATCAGAATAGTTTATGAAATCCATTTCAACTGTGAACGAACGCAGTGCCCTTTCCACCCATCCATGCAGCATTCTGCATGGCTTCTATGCATGCACGGCTACCTTGGGGGCGATGTTGCAGCCACAGGGCAATCAAATGCTGCGGCTTTATATTTGCTTTGGGTGCCTCTCGGGTCGACTCCGGGCGGGTGATCTGCGTCCTCCCATCCCGAGAAATCCGAGGCTGTTGTAAATGGAAGGCCATGCGAGCCAAGATGTTCCAGAAGGGGGAGAAGGCGGATGAGGAGGCTGGGCCAGCGGGAGTCCAAGCGGTTCCGGCTGGAAAGATAGTGGCAGCAAAGACATTCCAATTGTTATTTTCCCCTTGATGGTATGCATACGGTTAGAATCCAATGTGAAAATCCAATTGTTGGTCCTAGGAACATTGGTTATTGTGAAAGTTCCGGTTTGGTTAAAGAGCCACAAAGGGTTAACTACTGTTAGAACTTCGACAAAAATGATTTCAAGTAGAAATCAAACACCGACGCGCCTTGAACAATTATCATGCCAACAATTAGATGTTTGCTGATTTTGATCAATTTGGCAGAGGCCACCCAAGCATCAGATGTCTGGCTAAGCAATGGAGATGTCGGCCATTCGCGCCGTGGCTGTTACTCAACATCCTCCCTGCAGCCAACTGGTGGCCGCGATTGTTGGTTCCAACCATCGCATAATACCGTTTGCAAATGAGTTGAGCTCGCGACTCGCAGTACCCGAAGCCTCATCGTCGCAAGTAGGGAGGGCTACCTTGGAAGTGCGACACAGAACATCCTCGCAGGTTGTTACGCTTGTGGCTGATCCTGTTGATCAGATTCGTTCCGGCGTGGGATCGCGGGCGCTAAGACTGAAGGTGACTTCGGATCCCTGGTAGGGGTCTTAACGTGTGTCACCAAGAACGCTCTCGATTCAGACAAGCTGATCACCGATCCGAACTGATCTGAAGAGTCGCGTTGGTAACGATGGTGGAGTTTTCGGTGGACTCAACCCTAACTAACTTATTACTCTGCACGGCCGCTCCAACCTAACCTTTGGCAGCTTTCTGAGTCCTGACTAGTTAACAACTCTACAGGGGTGCTATATCAGGGCTACAAACCTAAAATACAATCTCTTTTCCCCCGGATTGGAACCCAGAAACGTCCATTCACCAAGTTTCCATTGAAGGTCCCCCCGGCTTACAACCGGTGGTGTCGAAGGCGTGTACCATTGACCTTTTGATCCCTCAGGCTGCTAAGGCGAACAACTCCAGTCCGGAGGCAAAATAACAGATTGAGATTGATAGAGAGTCTATTCTCCATTTGAAGCAAAAGGATGCCAGCCGCTCGATGTCCGTTCGACAATCCCGAATTGACGACGTTGATGTCACCGTACAGCGGCGGAAACTGTTCCAATTACTATTGGGGATGAAGCATCTGTAAAAAGCATGACGGGCTACTTCGAGGGCTCCTAGGTTTTATATCTAGTGTCCTTTTGGCCTGGCTTATTCTGTTGTATATGAAATCCAGGCCAGGCCCTCTTGTAAGGTGGAGTGGACATAAGTCATCATTCTGCCATTTATGCCCACTCATCGCTGTAGGTGTTTACGGTCAAAGGCATGTCATGAGGTATTATATTCTGTACAGTTAATCGCTTTTGAAATCGCAGGGATTCCTGAATTTCTGTTGAAAGTATCTATTGTATAGAGTGGCTGGAATGTGCCTCTTCTTGCTTGTGTCATCTGGCCTAATAGGTCAACCTCAGCTTCTCGGATGACAGGCAGCCTGTGAATGTGTGAATTTCAAAAGCAAAACCACACAAAATGCGCCTTACGTAAAGATCCCACGAAGCAAAAGTCTTGGGGATTCATTTCTGAGAATCGGCTGACCCACCAACTGCTACGCTATCTTGACATCGGAATCCCACGCCTTGGCGATTGCAGGACCACGAGAGTGCCGGCCGGCGATGGTGGTGGGAGAGTTGGCCGGCGCTGCTGGGGAGAGCAATGGGGTCAAAGCGATGCCCATTTCGAATTCCCGTATCTGGCTAACCGCAGGGATATTACACAGTTATTAGTTAACTATACTTGAGACCAGACTGGTGTTGCAGCGGTGCAAGTCTTCCCTCGGCCTCAAGAGTCGAAAGGGGGGAAACGAGGGAAGAGGGTGTAAGATTACAGGACAAGAGCTGTGACTTGCCGTATTGGTCAGCCAGATACAAAGGACACTCTGTTAGCAATCACTCGCATCAGATCCTGGGTTAGGAGCCTTGATGTCGCTGGAAACAGAAAACGCAAGAAAAGGTAGCCCTCAGGCCCCCAAGGCTAAGGTGATCAAGAGTCGTAAACTGCAGGCTGGCAATCTGCGATTTTGATCAAGAGATAGTGATCGTTGGACGTTGATAATCGCGCGGATGTAACAATACGGTAAAGCGTGATACGGTACGCATACGTGACCGGCGCCGTTGCCGCTGCAGGCCTCCCTCGCTCTCGCTCCCGAATTTTTTCTCTCTCCCTGAACGTCGTTGCTGCTTCATCCTCTTCCGCCTCCATCACCTCGCTCTCTCTCTTCACCCTCCCTTTCCACTCTCCTCGCCTCCGGAAAGGTCTGTGTCTCGAGTGCGTCCCCGTCAATTCGTGGGTCGGTAGAGAGGGATTCTCCAAGTCGACACCCTCTCTCCTTCGAGTGGTCGGGGCTTTTTTTACTTGTGAGTGCCACTCCAGCTGTCCAGACAAGCGTGCAGTTTGCTTTTTCACCACCAATTAAAATCCATTGCCCTGCCCTGCACTGCATGCCGATCTCATGGGAAATGGTTCAATGCTTGCAAAGTTCAGCTTGTTCTGCCCTTTTTTTTTCCTGGATTTGTTGACACTCAACACCACCCTTTATCCCGTCATCACCCTCTAGAGTCTTTGATTTACTAACGGCTTATAATATCCATTTTGGCCCAGATATACTTACGAATTTGCTTATTCAACGTCATTCTTTCCTTTACGGTTCGGTTTTCGGCGTCTACAATCGTTGCTTACAAAAGGGTTTCACGGCTTTTTTTTTCTTTGGATTGGGCTTCTTGAACAAATTTTTTTGGACTGGCGATCATGGCATACTACGAACCTCAAAGCTGGCAAGCACCCGTGCGCCAGAGCTCCTGGGAGCAACCAGCTCCGCCCTCTCGATCAGGTACGTCCAAAAATCGGCTCATTCGTTCCCGAGCTGAAAGACAAGGAGCCTAACTCGACTAACTTATCCATCCTAACTGTAGGCACGAGTTCCACCGCCCAGCGCGATGACACACCCGCCTTTGCCTCGCAGTTTGATGGTATGGTGTCGCCCTTGATACCCCATTTGAGCCACTTCTAGCAGGGAAACCGATTGTGATGTGCCTTGCGTGCCTTGCTGCCAGCTATCGTGCAGTCCACCCCCATGAATATCGAGAGGCTATGATGGTTCGATTGCGAGAGTGAAAACTAATATTTTCTTGAAGAGGTTGACCGTGCCATCGACAACTTGGTGAAAAGCGGAAAACTTTTCAATGCTATGCCGCGAAGGGAGTCTGTACCGCTTATGATGGGACGCCCATACGACTACGGTAAGCTCTGGCGTGGACACTTCTTGTAGAGCTGAGCTTATGGATCCAACCTCAGATCCGCGAATGCCGGGTGGAATGATTCCCCCACGCCACCATTCAATCAGCGACTATGATGCCGTTCGTCCACACTCAGCATCCAACTTGCAAGGATTTTATGCCGCACAGCGCTTTCAAGGTCGACCCAACGACGCAGAGCATATGATGCAGGCAAAACGTCGCTTGGCCGCACAACGAGAGAGGGATCTCCGCAATTATCATCAAGAGCAACAATATAACCGAAGTACGTGATGAGCGCTGTTATTCCAGTCTTTCTTATTATACGCTACCTTAATCTTTGTGGAGATGAGACCTCTCCCCATCACCGTCTTTTATTCCTTTTGGCACTTTCTGTTTCGATCGTTTACGTGATGGTTTTGGTTTGTACTTATATCTTAACTTGTTATGAACTGGAAAAAGGCCTTCTTGCCGAAATGTCTGGAAACAAATCCGATCGTTCCATGAGTCCTGCTGCGATGAGCGAAGAAAGCCGACGCGAATTGATTGCACGTCAACATCGTGCACTGTATGGCGGTGATTCCACAGCATTTTTCCCTAACGCGCCGCTCGCCGACGACGGGCAGCCATCTGGCGCTTCGAATACGGCTGCCAGCGGCCCTCGAGGCTCCTCCCCAAGGGGTGTGGATCCATTCAGTGGT